TTTGTTTCAAGCTTTTTAATGTTATAATACTTTTAGAATTTCATTTAATTTTTTTATTTGGCCTTTCTTATCTTCATCTTTTTTTTTCTTTTTTTTTTCTTAGAAGGTAAATTTCTTTTTAAAACTTTTGTAAGTAAATACAAGTAAATTAAGTATTTGGTTAATACAAAAGTTGTACTTATATTCTATCAAATTTAAAGAGACTTCTAATAATTGTTATTAAAGTAAATTTTAGAATAATAATATTATTGTAAGATTATTTGGAAAGTAAATAAAAATTATTTTAATAAAATATCAAAATACAATCATATTTTTTTGTAGAATAACCAAAAATTTCAGTTATGTTTGTATTGTTAGCAGATAACTCTTTTTTTCTCTCCTTTCTTTTCACTTACTGATGTATTAGCATATAACTTTTCTCTTCTCTTTTTTCTTTTACTGATTATACTGCACCTTCTTATCCTTATCTCTTCATTGTATATATATATATATGGGCAAACAGCCCATATAATATATAATAATAAATTTTTCAGTCTTCACCAAACCTTGACATGGTACCAGAGTCACAAATGGCATTTGCACTGACCCAGAATATAGTTTCCACCTCATACCACTCCTTTTCCATTAAACTCACAAATAAGAATTATCTTGCTTAAAAACACAGTTCATCCCTCTTCTAAACTACTAAAAATTGATGGGATACATTGACGACACCTCATATGCTCCACCAAAGACTATAATAATCCTGATAAACCCAATGAAATCATCCACAACCTAGATTATGAAACCTGGTTTTAAAAAGACCAAATGCTGCTCTGTTGGTTGCTCTTTTCTCTATCTGAAGAGGTCTTTCCCTATGTCATCGGCATGACTTCCTCCCATGAGGTCTGAAATGCATTAGCTAGTACCTTTGGCTCCATCTCTCATAACAGACAATCACAACTTAATATTGAGCTACAAGAACTCAAAAAACATGATCTCACAGTCTCTCAATATCTCCAAAAGGCCAAGTCACTTGCTGATGAACTCACCTCTGCAGGTCGAATGATCACTTTATCTGAGTTCAATAGAATCATCTACAGAAACATTGGAAGTGAATATCGTAGCATAATTACTACACTTAACCTACGACTCAATCCCGTCTCTTTCAATGAACTACATAGTCATTTGTTGGCCAATGAAATTCTACTAAATAGCCAACACACCCTTCTAGTGGCCAACATCACTCAGAAGCTTCCACCTCAATATGCCCCTTCCAACTCTCAGTCGTTCTCCCATTCTCGACAACAATGCCAATACAGAGGCTTTTATTAGATCCATCATTTTTGTAATCATACTCCAGATAAGTGCAGAAGACAGTATGAACAACGAACACCTAATGATGGTCAAATAAATTACTTAGACTCCATCGCAACAAATCGCAACTAAACTCACAAAGCTCATTGGCTTGTTGACTCAAACACTAACTTTCACGTCACTCCAGACTTAACTTCTCTCAATCTTGCAGATCCCTACTTAGGCAACAATTAAATCAGAATTAGGAATGGACAAGGTTTGGATATCACTCATATTAGCTCTACTCATCTCACTCATTCAGAAAAAATTTCTCCTTAAACTCTATTTTTCGAGTTCCCTCTCTCACGCAAAATTTATTATCAATCCACCAATTCTATTTTGATAATAAATGTTTCTTTAAATTTTAGCCTTCTACATTTTTTATTAAAAACAACCAATGAAGTGCTACTACAACGATTCAATAAAGATGGTCCTTATATCACGTCACCACCAGCTTCAAAGACGACGAACCTGACACAACCAACCTTTGATGATTGACATTAAAAATTAGAGCATCCAAATTCTAAGCTTATGTCCAGGATCCTTACGCAAAACAATCTAGTTTTCAGTCTTTCTTCCCTTGTCCTCCAAATGCACTACGTGCATTATGGGAAAATGTCCCAAACAAAGTCTTCTCAATGTCGATCACCATAGTCAGCTCCTTTGTAGCTCGTCTTCTCTTATGTTTGGGGTCTTCCCCCATTTTTCTAATC